TCATAATATGGATGCTTACAGACCTGTCATAATATGGGTGCTTACATGACCTGTCATAATATGGGATGCTTACAGACCTGTCATAATATGGGTGCTTACATACCTGTCATAATATGGATGCTTACAAACCTATCATAATATGGGTGCTTACATACCTGTCATAATATGGATGCTTACAGACCTGTCATAATATGGGTGCTTACAGACCTGTCATAATATGGGTGCTTACATACCTGTCATAATATGGGTGCTTACATACCTGTCATAATATGTGTGCTTACAGACCTATCATAATATGGGTGCTTACAGACCTCTCATAATATGGATGCTTACAGACCTGTCATAATATGGGTGCTTACAGACCTGTCATAATATGGATGCTTACAAACCTATCATAATATGGGTGCTTACATACCTGTCATAATATGGATGCTTACAGACCTGTCATATTATGGGTGCTTACAGACCTGTCATAATATGGGTGCTTACATACCTGTCATAATATGGGTGCTTACATACCTGTCATAATATGTGTGCTTACAGACCTATCATAATATGGGTGCTTACAGACCTATCATAATATGGATGCTTACAGACCTGTCATAATATGGGTGCTTACAGGCTTGTCCTACAATGGGTAAGTAGAGGCTTGTTATAATATGGTTAGCCGTGATATACATTGTTATTTTACCATTATTTATCTAATTTTGTTAATTTCTTTTATTTTCAACTTCTTTCCATAGTTACTTTGGTGAATATTGTTATTATATCTCACAGAAGTTCATTGTCGCATTGTCGTCGTTTAGCTCAATGTCAACGAATTGAGGTGCGCATAGGCGCAATCGAAATAAAACAATCGGCCAACTTTATGATTTTAATTAAACTGAAGGTGAATTTTGTTTGCTCTTACTTTGTCCAGTTTTTACACATTATATCTCTCAATATTTGTATCAGATTTTGACAAATTTATGTAGTTAATGAAAACCCGGAATGATGTAATCTTAAAACGATTAGCTGCCCATCTTTTGCACACGTTTTTTTTTCCGTCTTTTAGAAGCACGCTTTCCATGCTTTGGTCAATGACCTTGTTTGGATGAATAATAGCCCGTTATACAAAACATGTATATATATATATTCAATTACTAAACTTGATAACCCTGTGCACGCATACAATTTTTTACTGCAATGTTAAACAGATCTAGGCATATGTGATTTTAAACATTCGTAATGATTATAATTTCAGTGCGATTTTCCTCTGCCTAGTGACGGCTTAGGGGTAAGGGAACACCTCATCAGTGATTTTATTGCCATACTGCATTATGGGTATGGGTATCAGTAACAACGGTTTTTGGTGCCCGTGCCCGCCTCTGTGCCTTCCGCCACTGCTATCAGAAGCCGAGGTTTGTTTGCGTGTTCCTAGTTCATCGAAGCAGAATGACCAGCAAAGTGTCAACTACTTAACGACTCACAGGTGCCCGTGTACTGGTTATCCATAAATGACATCATGAAAGATCCACCCACATCAGTAGTTAATTATTGTTTCCAGTCACCTACTATGTGACCAATTCTACGGCTACGTGTCTTGCTACCAGCCAGGGCGATGAACAAAGTCCATGTACCACTCACTACATTAGACAGCGGAACACAGCTTGGCGTTGGAAGACGCATACTAGAGCATAATTATTGCACTACAGTTAACGGCGTACTACCTGAAGTAATTTAAGTGAACTCCGATTCATCAGTATTGACTCTAGCCATTGTGCTTGATTTCTGTGTCGGTAAGCATTCAACACATTGTTCTACGCACGAGTTGACAAAATGGCGGAGGGTGAGGCCACACCCCCAGCTCGCATAAAGTGTCGTTGGACAGAAGACGGGGCCCGTATCGTACAAGGATCTCTACCTAACAATATTAACTTTTTGCATCGTATATTTCTGCAATCTCTCGGCGACGAAGACTTGCCGGTGGTTATTAATAAGTTAATTCTAGGTGTTGCCATAGAATTCGAGGACACGTTCCAAATGAATTTCCCAAAAGTTGAAGGTGACCAGAGTAAGAAGGCCGTGCTATCAACGATCGGCGCAGCCGCTGACGACAGTCTTTGTTACACACTGACAAAATGCCAACTAGCATTAAGTATTCTACGTGTTATAGAATGTAGACCACGACAGTTACCGAAAATAGCACAAGCCGATGATTTAAGAGGGTATTTAATTAGACGAGGTATTGACCCACTTACAGGTAAGTCACATTTGAACTTTAACCTACGAGAACATAATCTTGTTCCCGGTTGGCGTTACACTATGTGCAACTTATATGCTGTGATGTCACCAGGAAACATATAACAACGCATTGTACCCTGGGAATCAAACACACTATGTTATACTACTCGGAAGCAGAAATCCGTGATACACCCTTGGAAATATGAAAACCACGAATGAAAGAAAGAATGAACAAATGAATGAATGAACAATATTTCACCGGATACAGTTACATTTTAATTAGTACTATTCATTTTGAATAAAGTTAAAAAAAGCATTCACAACAATGGGCCATTCCAGTTTATATCTCCCCCCCCCCCCGCTGGTGAGCTTGTGTGTTTCCTTCATACAGGGTATAATTTCCATGGGTGTATAAGTCACACAAAGTTTTATTTCCAAATCAACATTCACCATACAGTAATGGAATTCCAAAACTATAGTTCCTACAGAGTAGGATTTCCAAATATAACTCTCATCATATGCTAATCTAATTTCAGTAATAACTATTTCATACTGGCCCAATACAGTCAGAATTCCAAGTTTTTTGTATAGTCATACTGTTGGAAATCCAACCTCATCAACCGGTATGTGGCGAGATAAACTAGGCCATATTATATTTAGTGGCCATAACTGCCTGGATTTCCAGGATTTTTTTTTCCATACTCGTCTGGATTTCCAGGATTTTTTTTTTCATACTCGTCTGGATTTCCAGATTCTGTTTCTCCATATACAGTTGGAATTCCGGAGTATTTTCCCCATCATACAGTGCTGGAAATCCGACCACATCAACAGGGGGAGTGCAGATATATACTGGAATGACCCAATATTGCATCTGATGATGCCACATAAATAGTTTGATCATTAGCTGTAACTGCGCGACACTAAAGAACTCATTGTGTGACATAGAATTAGTAATGTCGGCCGCGAACCCTTGACTTTATTTTTGGTAGGATTAGGATTGGAACATGTGACACGTGTTTTCATAACAAATTGCTACGATGGTCTTATCACGTCTTATATATGATTATTAAAGTGTCATATGAGTATCGTTCTATCATTACTATAATATAATCAGAAGACGTAGGTATATGATCGATGGTATCGGTGACCCCCCCCCCCCCAACATACACATACCCGAACATAACATATACGCACATGGACGACGGATGCTGCCACGTTTAGTAAAGGAGACTCGTCTATACAATGACGTCATCTGAACATTGTACTGTGGGTGAACACCATACTTGCACGGGTCAAGCCGTGAAACCTAATTGGACAGACGAAGGACGGGACGGGATGTAACAGGCACAAAATCGCTGGTTCAAATACCTGCAAAAAATATTCACTAATTTCAGGGCATATTCTGTAATGGTAAACCTTTATAAAGTATATACAGAGTATTCTAATTATATGCAATGTACATGTGTGGGTTTGCTTGACAACTAGTGTATATTCACATTTATTAGGTGATGACGTCGCAGGAGACTTTTTAAATTTACGTTACAAATGGTTCATATATTAATTTAATTGTGTCTTTTTCGAAAAACCTGCGTGAAATAGAGTAGAAAATTCAGAGGTTTTTGATGCGTTAACATAAGGTCAACGAGGTCAAAAAATATCAGTTATAGATAGCGCCACTGTATCTTGTTCTGCCAGGTCTACTTTAACTTGTACAGACATTGTGACAACTCCTTTGTTCTACAAAACACTACACCATTAAAAGACACTATTTCATGAGTTGTAATTGGGTAGATCGTTGGTGATTTAGATTACTGATAGTAACACTAAATGCACAAATACACACAGACTTTTATTATCCCTTGATTCGCGAACCCGCCGAATGAACAGGAGCCGAAAATGAAATAAAAATAAAATTTTATTTCAGCGTTATTTCTCGCGCCCGCTGACTTGTAGGCGCATAAAATTGCTAAAAAATTATTATTTTTATCTTCATTATTTTACCGCCCGCCTCATTCTAAATTTAAGTTGCATTTTCGTGGGATTATCATGATCAAAGAACCGAATAAAATGTTATTTCATTTCTTCTCTCCGATCAATGATCTCACTTACAATAGACCATTTTCCGTACACTGCGAGAATCACGCGTTATGCGTGAAATCGAACGTAAAAACAGAACAAAGGTCATAGCGTCGTACATTCTCCTTCCCAGAGTTCCTTGCGGTTGGATCACCGAAAGTATATATTCGTGATAGAACTCTGCCTTGGGAGATTGAGCGTCGTAGTGGCGTCAAACACCGCGTGGGATTCGACAAACGCGAAAGTATTTTGGGGACATTTCCATGCTTAATAATGTGCTGTCCACATTTGATGATAGACAATTTTGATTAAGTAAGGGTATTCGGAAGCAATATTCCTCTGTCGAAGATCGGCCGGTCGATGTGAGCTACGAAATAAAGAAATTCGAGTTCAAAATCAAATCGTTCGATTTTTGCGGCAGACATTCGACGCGCGTCTTTCATACATCTCGCGAGATCTCGCAATTGTACGGAAAATCACCTATTCTTTGAGAATCACACAAATGTAATGGAAAAAAAGAATTAATTTTATTTATTTTTCGTTCTCCTCAAAAAAATTGCCTTATAAAAACTCGAGAAACATGGAATAAAAAAGTCTGGCCTAAATCATGTGTATGTATTTGTCAGCTCAGCATTTAATTTATTTCAAGGAATCGTAGTAACAGCAGTGGCAGTTTGCTGGCATATTAATAAACAAATCTGACATTTTATCCAGAATATTACTCCAGTACTCAGTGGATGGTTGACTGAATAATGACCTAGTTTGTTTTAACTCGGAATTCAGCTAACCCACCAACGGCTAAACATCTAATGTCTCGCCCTCAATTATGTTACATTTATTCACCAATTTGACTAGTGTTTAACTTGTTGAATGAATATAGAGTAAAGAATTTGCGAGCCTTGTAAACTGCACACAATAACAAAATAGGAATAGGAATGCTAAAATTCACTTGAAGACGGTGGCGAATTTTATCTGACGCTATCTATAAATCTGAATTACACTGACTCTCATGCAACACACGAACATAGCATTACTGCTAAATCGGAATTACATGTGAAGAGCTAGAGAGCTGCTAGAAGATACCTGGCAACGCGTAGACTGACGATTAACTTTATGGTACCGTAGGGAATGTAACTGTTAGCTACCATGGTTATTTTAACTGTAGCGTAATTCCAAGCGAAATAGAAACGACATATTCAATTATAAATGATAAATAATATGTTCAATAAATAGTATTACCTTAGTGTAGTCGCAAGAACTCATTTTTAAAACTTAGAAAAAAAAACATTGTTCAGTAAATCTTATATCCGGTTGAGAAAATACTGATATGTTGGGAAGGGGACAAACATTGCTTTTTAATGAAATTAGATTTTAAATTTGTTTCTAAATAACAAGAAATAAAACAAGCATGGTTAAAGGCCTGTGAGATAAAACTGTTGACAATCATCCTTATTGAATACAAACATAAAACATGCTATTTTGTAACTATTATGGCCATGTACAAACTATGAAACACGCCAACACCTTGCCTATGCGATATATAATAAATTTATTTAATATATACAATTTAACTGTTTTCCTTGCGTTTGAAATGATATAAAATTGAGTTACACAATTGTAATAAGTTTTTGTTTTTTTATTTTCTTCCCAGGGGAGACTTTAGTAACGTCAGCTTATAAGAAAGAAGACCACATCTTTGATGACTTACGCGACGGTAATACACTTGCCGCTATCGACCAGGCCAAGACAGCTGACCTGCTCTCAGTTCGAAATGGTTTAACATTACTCCACCAGTCAATACTCTGTGAGAATGTTCTGTTCCTATTCACACTATTCAAGTATTCGGATTTCTACTCCCTGCTGGATATCCCTGTCTCAAACCCCAATCATGAATTTGATGGATGTATTGCCATGCAGATCGCAGAAGTATTGGGGAATGATACCTTGATCAGCAAACTTCAGTATTTGTCCGATATCGAGGGCAGTTTCACGTTATTACACAAAGCAGCGCGTGCGGGGGACCAAGATGCAGTTGAACGAATCTGTCAGAATGGCGACAACGTTAATATAAAAGGTAGCAATGGTATAACGCCTATTTCCGTTGCATGTGGTGCTGGTCGACTTGGTGCTGTGAAAGTCCTGTCTCGTTACGGTGCTAATCTGAATACCCGCAATGACCGTGGCGATACACTGCTTCACCGAGCAGCAGAGGGCGGACATGTCAGCATTGCTAAGTTTCTGTTGTCGCATAACAAGAAAATTGACGTTAATTCTCACAACTCGGAAATGATGACACCACTGCATCGAGCTGCATATAGTGGCAGTGACCCCATTGTTAAATTGCTCTTGGAGAACGGCGCAGTTGTCAATGTATCCTCTGATGATGACGCCACTCCCATGCACCTTGCAGCATATAATGGCCACCCCATCACTATGCAGTTATTAATAGATCATGGAGGCTCCGTGGACTCGCTCACTAAAGATGGCAAAACCCCTCTTCATTATGCTGCTGAGGAGAATCGAATTGCAATTGTAAAGTTGCTGCTGGAGAAAAAATGCTTGATTGATATCTATGACGATGAAAGCATGACACCATTACACTTAGCAGCAAGTAAGGGTAATGTTAAAGTGGTCGAGTTGCTTGTAAATGGCGGGGCTATGGTTAATGCAGTAACAAAAGAAAAGGTTGCTTCCTTGCATTATGCAGCTGAATTGAACAAGATACCTATAGCAGATTGTCTCATCATCAAAGGTGCCGACATAGATGTTAAAGATGTTGATGGTTATACACCACTGCACTTCGCAGCTCTTGAAGGAAATAATGAAATGGTGGATTTCCTTGTTGGTAAAGGGGTGGACATGAATGGTGAGACATTTCATGAGAAGATAACTCCTTTGTGGATCGCATTAGAAAAGTCTAATGAAGAGACAGCCATAATGTTGATTCAACGTGGTGCTAACATAAAAACTGCTGATCAACATGGGCAAACAGCTTTACACTTGGCTGCAATCAATGGTCTTCTAACAGCAGCCATATTGCTAGTTGAGAAAGGTGCAGATGTAAATGCATTGAATGACACCTTCTCTACTCCTCTGCACTGTGCAACCATTGGTGGACATATGAGCATAACTCGAATGCTGGTAAACAAGAATGCAGTGGTGAACTCTCTAGACAATGAGTCGTGGTCACCGGTATTTTATGCTGTGCAACATGCACACTATGCGATGGTTGAAGTACTTCTTAACAGTAAGGCTAATGTCAATGAATCTGATGCTTATCTGCAGACACCCCTTCATCTTGCTTCCCAGCTTGGGCATTTCTCGATTATTGAATTACTGCTCAAGAAAGGAGCTGATCACAAATCTGTAACTGAAGATGGTAGATCTGCACTACACATTGCATCCATGAACGGGCATGATAAGAGCGTCAAAGTGTTGATAAAACGAGGAGCAAACGTTCATGCACGTGACAAACATGACTACACTGCTCTACACAACGCCACATGTAATGGTCACGTGACAGTTGTTGCAATACTGCTAGACAAAGGCGCACATGTTAACGCTCAGACTACGACCCAGTCAACAGCCCTACATCTTGCATCTGAGAAGGGGTACATCGCTATTATGGAAATTCTGATTGAGCGAGGTGCATTTATTGATATTGGTAATGATAAAAACTATACACCATTACATTGCGCTGCAGAATCTGGGCAGGTTGATGCAGTGGAATTACTCATTTCTGAGGGCGCTTCAGTATATGAACAGACCCACACCCGCTGGACTCCGCTGCACCTGGCTGCACTGCATGCAAACGACCACGTCCTTGAGATGCTTATCCGATATGGTGCGGCGTTAGATGCTCAAGACATGGATAGAGAAACAGCGCTTCACAATGCTGCCAGTAAAGGTCATCTCGATATAATTCGTATCTTACTGCAAGGTGGTGCTTTTATTGATCCAAGAAATCTCCAAGGTTTTACACCTCTCCACATATCGTCCAAAGAGGGACATGTTGCATCTGTGGAGCTGTTGTCTGATCTTGGTGCGCAAGTAAACGCGAGAACGCAAGAAGGACAGACGCCACTACACCTGGCCGCCTTGGGAGGGTTTGTTGATGTCATAGCTGAGTTGCTAGATCGTGAAGGTGACGTCAACGCTAGAGACAATGATAACTGGTCTCCTCTTCACTTTGCTAGGGAGCATCAGCATAAGGAAGCCGTCAATTTATTGCTACAAAATGGCGCATATGACGCAAATGCGTAGGAAATACTACTTAACTGATTGACGAAAGTGAAGACTTTTTTAAGATGACTAAAAACTCATTCATTGACCTAATACATGGTGCTCACAAAATTTAAAAATATAACTAACTTAAATTAAATTAAATTTAACAATTTCTTTTTAAGACTTTGCCGCCACTGCGGCTTGCTTTGTAAGCGACAATTTTGAATGCACATACTTCTGTAGTTTTCCCTTGTCACATTCAATGCTAATTCTGAAACAAGATATATAGTAGGTAATATTTGGAAAACTTAAGTAAATATTGAAAAATAGCTAGCGAGACGTTTCGGGCAATGACCCATTTTTACAGGAACATAGAAATATTGAAAGTAAAATATGAAATTAATAACTTTATTGATCAAATTATCAAACAGACAGTTTTAAAAAGGGAGGTGGATGATGGTAAATGTTGACAGTAGTGTATATAGTTGATTAATATAAATCCTGAACGAGATTATGCTCGACGTGAACGCCCAGGAGCTTTCACGTGAGAACCAGTACATTCGCACATGTGTTAGCATTGGGCAAATCACTGAAACTTATCTTACAGGTCTGTACTTTACTCACTTCCTTTTTTTGATAGTTTCAGATGCATTGTTTTATTGTCTCGAGTTGCTAATGTGGCCTTTTGTGGCAACGTGACAGTCATCGGATCAAAGGTCATTTCAGGATCATGACCTCTTAATTTGATTTAAGTGTCACAATTAATAAATGAACTGACAGAGTAAAAAGAGATATGTGTTTATGACCATGGTACCCATTATGGAGATTTTATATTTTTTGCCATTTTCGTCTTCCAAAAATTAACAATCACAAAATAAATACCGTATTATACATCTCAATGAACAAATCTATACTTATCAACATACATACCTGTAATTTGTACGACAAGTCTTTCGTCAATTGTTGAATTGCTTACATTCTACCACATTTAAACTAAACATTAACTGAAACTATGTAAATTATGAAGGCGTTTTATGAATAATTAACTTGACTTTGTTCGTGTGCAGAGCAGCCATTATTCAAAGAGAGCAAGAATCATTTGACTATATATGCTGTCACATTCAGACAGGTTTGCGCCCCCAACTTCACTCAACATGGTTTCAGTTTGAACCATCTTTTAACGCAGCTCCTCCCAGTATTGTAAAACTTCGAACATTGTATGTTAAGCAACACTATTATATGCAAGTTTGTCAATAGTATTGCTTTCTCTCATAACGAAATTGTATAATGTAATGACAACTTCGGACATTCTGGCTTACTGGACTGACTTTTGATACAACCGATGAGATTTGTACATAACAAGAAACAGCGCCACCACATGAGTGAAATTTCTAATTGTGGCCTGATATCAGAGCGTTTTACCGACGTTGTATCTTCCAAGTCAAAAACAACTATATGTCTGCTGCTGTCGGAGACACGCTTGCAACGCAAAGGAGTACATCTGTTACGTAACAAGTTAGCTAAGGTAACACGTTTATTATTCGATCGGATGTTCATCAATCCACCAACCCAGGGCAATACACAACCGATATGTTATGTTTTGCCCCCTTTGTCGTCTTCACTGTAGGCTAGTATGATACCAATATATTGCGTCTAGGCCCCTAGTGTATCGTCTTCATGTCGACTTTCACTATTTAACTAACATTTGAATTAATTCGATGTTTTATTTCCCACCGAGGTAAAATATAAATGACGGGATTGTTTTATGTAGTATATGTTATGCGCATTAGTACCATTTTATTCATTCACGTGCAGGTCAACATCATAGTATTCTCGGGAGTGAACATCCGGGAATGTTCACCGCCTGGCACCACAGCCAGTGAAAACAACTGTCAAAAACTTTCAAAACTGTACATTGTTGAGACTCTCAAGAACAGGAAATTACCCCTAAATGTGCAACATATATAAATTGGTTGTTTATGATTGTTTCATATTTGAGTTTGTGATGTTTTCTACGACCGGCGTTCCAGACCAGTATGCACAGAGCACACAGCAATACATGGTGCAGTGGTGCGTTCTGCGACGTAGCTCCGTCCCTGGAATTTCACCAATTTGATTCTTACAACTCCATCAACAATTCTAATTTGCCTTTCAATCCCACGTTTTTAAAAGCATATGAATATTTTTGTCTAATTTCATGATCGATTTACTTACTCTGACAAATGTGCTCATTTAGACAATTAAGTACGTAATCTGATAAGAGGGAACTACTGAAACTGAAACTTAACAATTGTATGATGATGAGGTGATTGGCGCCCTCTTTCGGTGGAATTGTCGAGCGTTTCCAATTAATTGTACAATAGTAGTACAGCATTTCTTTCGTTTCTCAGTTGTATCCGGTATATAACACGACAGAAACGCTGTCACGTAAATTGCGCCCTCTTCCAGTGGCGAAACACCTTATCGTATGCATAAGACCTCGGTTTTTTTCGCGTGATCATTGGGTTGAAACTGACGACAAGATAATACTAACGTACAACCAGAGTTTGTCGTCAGGGTAAAATTATAGAATACTGGTTTTCAAACTGCATGAAAAAACTCTGTGTTGTGCTTAACTTTAAAGTTCTTAGTTCTAAACTGACTCCGTCTCTCTGGTCCAGTTCTTAACCCGTTACTGCCTTCCTTGTCTCAGTTCTCAATCCGTCATTACTTTTATAGTGCGAGTTCTCAACCCGTCACTACCTTCCTGGCCCCAGTTCTTAACCCGTTATTATGTTTCTGGTATTAGTTCTCAACCCATCACTACCTTTCTGGTCCGAGTTCTCAAACCGTTACTACCTTCCAGACTCCAATTTTTAGCCCGTTACTACCTTCCTGGTACCAGTTCTCAATCCGGCACTACGTTCCTGGTCCAAATTTTTAACCAGTCAATAACTTTCCAGCCCCAGTTCTCAACCTGTCACTACTTTCGTGATCCAAGTTCTCGCCGTCACTCAGGCTCGCTTTCTTGTCCAACATATATACCTATCACCGCCTTCTTTGTCTCGGTTTTCAATTTCTCACCGACTTTCTTGTCCCAGTTTTGAACCCGTCGACGACTTCCTATTCTCCGTTCACAGCTCACCGGCTCCACTCTACTAGATCTCGATCCTTATTTATCACCATAATCCATGTTTCCAACCAGTTTTCTGCTTTTCTGGTCTCGGCTGTACGCGACTGTAAATGTTAGCTCGTTTCCCACTTTCACCACTGACATTAGCCACCTTAACTTTCAATCGCCTTCCCAGCCATTGCATTCTCGCCCGAATATTGCCATGGACACCTTCAACCCCCACCCCCGCCACATACACAAATAATACTGTCATGCTAAAATGTCTAGCAAAATACATATACGAATGTTTCAACCTCACAGAAAGCAAATTAAAAAAAACAGCTGCCTCACAGATATCTAAATAAGTAATCCTAACATTTACTTTATTAATTTGCATTTCTAACCCACTTTCGGGCAAGTTTGTTGTTTTTAGTTTTGTTTAGTTTAGTTTTTTCATACTAATGTACCCTTTTTTTAATTCTGAATGTTTCTAACATAGAATGACAACTATGCTTTATTGTACTTGGATCTATGTCCATTTTTAGGACACGACTTCAATAAAGACTATTACTACACATGTTGTGATGACAATTTGTTTATTTGTTAAAAATAATGAACATTTCAATTTGATTGGAGACGGCTTGGCATGGATTAAATAATATCACATTTTTTTTTCCATCCGAAAACAGCGCTATTTGCCAACAATAGCTACTCGCGAGATTTGAGAAAGGAAAACAATTATTAACTGAAAGTATTGAATTCATCGTAAAAGGCGACCTTGGGCGCGATGGCAAGACGACGAAAACGAAGCATATATGAAATTTGATCAAGTTGATGAAGAGGTTGCCGGTCGATCACGTGGTTATACACCTGTCAGTGGATCGATAGTGGATGAGATGTGGTTAATAGAAAGATGCAATGGTGTCATTGTAAACTGCGCTCATCGTCATATACGGCTGTTCCGGCATATACACACCCTCCTAATGGAAATACTTATTGTTTTAATGTGGTATATCATAACATTTGCACCTGAACACTGATTATCACCCAGCTATATATTTAATTTCCTTGTGTCTTTATGAAAAGGTTAGAACAAATGTTACATATCTTTCAGTTGTGGGTACACAGTATGATCTTGCGATTCTAAAGTGTCGACAATTCCTGGAAAAGCCTGCTTTAATTGGTTACTGCACTGGTATGTACAGATAGGTTTCTTTTTAATTCACCCCACCTGTCAGTTGGCAACAAAGACTAAGTGAAAATTCAGAATCGTCTGAAAGAAATGTATAATTTTACGCTCGTTATTTTGGGCTTATAAAATTCCAGTTTTGTAAAAAAAATAGATTGAAGATGAGTTAAACTGTGACCCGGGAAAAAGACACTGTATTATGTCAAAGTTTCTTGTAATATTTCCCCCGGCGTTAATGTTGTAATGTGCCCTCGTGCCGCAATGTTGTTATATTTACCCGTGCCGTAATGTTGTAATATTACCCTGCTCGCTAAATGTAGTAATGGCCCCCGTGCCATAATATTGTAATCTTCCCTCGTGTCGCAATGTTGTTATATTCATCCCCGCAATGCTGTAATATTCCCTCGTGCTGTAATGTTGGGATATTGTCCGGTGCCTAATCTCGAATGCGTCGCTATATTGTAATAATCACCCTCCTGAAATACTCCCTCGTCGTAGAGATTTCGTTATGACAACCATGTTGAGGTACATAGTTCGTGAGGACGCTAGTAACCTCTCTCATTCTAACAACAACAAGGGATACATTCTAACATCTCTATATATTCCGTTTTGTTAATGACAAGAAATCACGTGAAAATGAAGACATTTTTGTATCATGATTAGATAAGAATGTTGTACGGCAATAAGGCGGATGTAGAAATATTAACCTAAGTCCGACATTCCGAATTGAGCCGTTATCCCACCTACACAATAGCTGAT